TTATGTGGTGCTGAGGAATCGAATCCAGGGCCTCATGCATGCAAGGCAAGTGCTCTACCACTGCGCCACCTTCCCAGCCCCAAATCATGTTCTTCCAGGTAAAATTATGCTTAATAGGCTGGGTGCTAATAGGTCATGCCTATAGTCCTAGCTACTGGGAAGGCTGAGAATCTGAGGATCATGGTTTGAAGTCAGCCCAGGTAGAAAAGTCTGCAGTCCTCTTATTTCCACTAAACCAACAAAAGAGCTGAAAGTAGAGGTATGACTCAAGTAGTAGAGTGCCATCCTTGAGTGAAAAAGCAAACCAAAAGCTCAAAGCCCGAAATTCAAATCCTAGTATGGCTCTCTGTCTCTCTGTCTCTCTGTTTTTGTCTCGGTCTCTGTCTCTGTCTCTCTCTCACAGACACAGACAGTATGTTTATTTATATAGTTTTTTCACTACAATTCTTTTTATTATCTTTAAGTAGTTGTACAAAGAAGTTCCCATTCTACAAAACAGTATATGAGTACAAAGTGTCTGACAACATTGTCACCCATCTCTCTTAACCCATTCCCTCTCTCACTTTTTTCTTTAATTGAGACTAGGTGATTACATAAATTTCACAGTATTGTGGAATAGTGATGCTTAGTTAGAGTCACAAACATTTTAACTTTCACAAGGCAAATTGTCATTATCATGGACACAGTATGTTTAATAGTCAGTACAGTATGAAACTAATGGAGGCAGTTGGAACTATGGCTGTGCCAGGGTGTTTCCAATGTGGGTTACCACATGGTACTGAGTTAGAGGACTCACATTGTCTATTCTTCATTCTAGGATGCAGGAGGTGCTGGAAGCTTTTCCTTAGTGCAGAGACTCATTCTTTACTAGTTTCCTGTGGATTTTGTGTTTTGAATGCATCTCATTGTTTATTCTTCCTGACCTCCACCTTTACAGGAGGAACCTGGGAGATTTGCCAGGAGGATTAACAGACTGGGGCCACCCACAGAGTTTCCTGCAGGGCTGGGATCAGAACTTCCTGCCTCTGTGGTTCTCTGCTCCCTCAGTTTCTCATCACACACTGTTGCACCCTGTTACTAAACCAGCCAGGGTGGCCTTGGTAATGCAGATATCGAGCTGGATCCAAAACCGAGCAGTCAGCTTTGGCATAGGCCCTGAGAAGTTGAGTCAAACTTGCCTGCAGCACAGGCTGGCTCCAAAGCAGCTGAGCAGGGGAGGGCTGTATGGTCTGACATCTATAGCTTTGGATGTCCCCTTTGCAGACAAAAACAAGATTTTTGCACCAAAGGTATTTGCCTTTCTTTTGTTTTTGTTTTTGGGGCTTGAACTTAGAGCCTGGGTGCTGTCCTTGAGTTTTTTAAATCAAAGCTAAGCACTCTACCACTCAAACTACAGCTCCATTTCTGACTTTTTAGTGGTTAATTGGAGTTAAGAGTCACAAGGCCTTTTACTGTTCAGGCTGGCTGTGAACCAGGATCCTCAGATCTTAGTCTCCTGAGCAGCTAGGGTTACAGGAATGAGCCACTGGAGTTTTTTTCCCCTCTTTTATTTCTGTGTACTTCTTCTATTGCATTGCCTATTTTGTTCCCCCTACCCCCACTCCCTCTTAAAAGTAAGAAATGAACCACTTTTAATTTGGAGATCTTTAGTGTCCATCGGCCTAAGCCTTGTGAGGAAGAGCCATCCCATATTACTTGGTAAAGAAAAACATAGTGTATTACTGATGAGTGCAAAAGACAGCCTGAGTAAGACTGGATCAATCTTCAACTGGAAGTTGAGCTATTCTAGATCCTAACCTGTCATCATAATTCTAACATAACTGCAGAAACACATGTCTGAATACTCTAGTGTTTTAGACCCAGGGGCACAGCAGTGATTGAAAGCTGCTTTACCACTAAATATGTGCTCTGCACTTAAGCACTAGGAATCCAGAAATGACTTAGTGACACTGATTCGTGTCTCATGCAACCTCTGAAGAGCATCAGGAAACAACGTGGGCAGTCTTCCTGGGAATAAACGGAACTCTCGTGCCTTTGCCAAACTGAATCTGAGAGGCAACAATTGCATACTATTCCCCAAGCATCCTTACAGAAACCTTTAGGTTTCAACTCTCTTGAGGATGGGTAACCACTCCCAGAGCCCATTGAGGGAGGAGCCACCATGGAAAGAGCTGATCCCTCTCACTTCCCATCTGGTCAACATTTCCAAATCCATACTCAGGTTCCAAGTGGCTGGCCTTGGTCTAATGTCTATCTTCTTTTAAAGGCTTGGCTCTCATATAGCTCAAGGCTAGCGCTCTACCACTTGGGCCACAGCACCACTTCCGGCTTTTTCCTTTTTGCTTATGTGGTGCTGAGGAATCAAACCCAGGGCCTCAGGCATGCAAGGCAAGCACTCTACCACTGAGCCACCTTCCCAGCCTGGCTCTCATATTTCTTATCCTACTTGTCTAAGAAGACACCTTTTTGCCTTGTTCTTTCTCAATCCAACTTCATGATCAGATATACTTACTTAGGCCTTGCTCATTCACAACATCATAACTTCTTTTGGTGTAGGGGCTTGAACTCAGGACCTTGCACTTGTGTGGATTGCTTGTTCAGTTGGTGCTGTACCAGCTGAGCCATGCTTCTAATCCTGCTTTTTGTTGGTTGTGGTCTTGAACTGAGGGCCCAGGCACTGTCGCCGAGCTCTTTTTGCTTAAGGCTAGCACACTACCACTTTGAGCCACAGCTCTACTTCTGGTTTTCTGGTGGTTAATTAGAAATAAGAGTCTCATGGGGGCTTTTCTGCCCAGACTGGCTTTGAACCGCAATCCTTAGATCTCATCCTCCTGAATAGCTACGATTATACGTGTGAGCCACCAGTGCCTGGCTCCAGTCCTGCTTTTTGATAATTCTTTTAGATATGGAGTCATATGAATTTTGCTTCCCTAGCTGGCTTCAAGTTACAATCCTCCATAATCTCAGCCTCTCAAGTAGCTAGATTATAGATGTAAACCACAACTGCCTGGCTATACCTTCTTTTATTATTGTTCCTTATGTGTAGGATTCCACTTCTCTTTTGTATCTCTTCCATACAGATCTCATCTATCCTTTAAGGCTCAATGAATCCTTCCTACCACATAAAACATCTCTGTCCAGAGCACCTTTCCAGCCCAGCTTCTAGTCCATCTGAATTTGCCTGTTTACATCACTGTGAACACTAAAATAGTTTTGGGGACAGGTCAGACATTTATATCTTAGGATCCTTTATACGTACTTTACCATTTTGTAGAATGATAGCCACTTAGAAGGCATTAAAAAATATCTACTGAATGATTAACGTCAAACTGTAATGTGTTTGACCTAGAGCAACACAAATATTTACAACTGATAGTGATGCCTTTTTTCTTCCCAGACCTCTGCACAGCAATTAGTGATGACACTCACAGTTAGCCTCACTGTAGTAATAATAATGGATATCCCCAGGGAAAGGATTAAAGACACTGCTCCATTCCAAGTGCAAATGATGCCACCTGAGACAACTCACCAGATATTACTGTCACTTGGGTCCCTTTCCCAAATGTGAGTTTACTAGTCATTCCTCCAGTGTTCCCACTGTGGGTGACACCATTATAGAAACTTGTGGGGCCTACTCTCTACTTT